TCTACAACATGGAGATCAGAAAGAAAATCAACAAATAAAGTTTGGGGAAATTCCTTACACATCAATTAAAGCAAATGGGGTGGAGTAGGCGTACAGAAAGCACCAATGGAGCCTCTCATACTTATCAGATCTTCACCAAGGCTACACTGCATATTGATCTGCATATACCAAAAACAGGAGCAACCTAAATTAAAATCAAGTAGCAACAATAATGGATTCTCAATTAAAATCAAAACAAATACGATGATCCTATGGAAATTTTGGATACCAAACTATAAAAAACAAAACATAAGGAAACTAATAATACAATAATGGTAAATTATATAATGTGTCTTACCTAAATGCATATATGTTCTCTAATAATGACGCCCTTTGGCAAAATTCGGATCGAACCCATTGACACAGTTAAACCCACTAATTGTAAAGATGAATACCCACCTTTCTCCATTTTTCCCTTTTCAATCTGTAAAATCATTTGTTAAAAAGTATGATGATTGGACAATAATAATGAAAATGTCATTGAACAACAACAAGGTTGCCTTCATTTTAACGATTTCATTACCTTTACATTTCATTACATCTTTGCATTTGACAACAAGAGTTGCCTTTTGTTAAAATTTTCTATTCTCGTTAGCCTCTGTTCATGAAAACCTATATAAAAGAAGTCTTCATATTATTACTAAGAAAATCCATACAATTGGGGTAAGAAAACAAATAATATGGGTAAAGTAAATTATCCTAATAACCTTGCTATCTTTTATGTTCTTCATAAATTCACCGCTCACAGCTGAACCAAACCAACAGTTGTTGCATGTGTAATCCAAAATATGAAAAATTGAATCCAAAATATGAAAAATTAAGTAGATATCAAAAGAAAAAGAAAAAGAACAGGTAGCCATATACACAACACCCATGCTCACACCTAAATAGAAGACAATCATAATCGTATCCCACTACCGGCCCGGTACCCACCAGGTCGGCTTTACAAAGCATTGCCACTTGTTTCGGACAAATATGTATTCAAATATATCGTACGCAAGCATCGGAATCGTATCCAAGAAAATATGCCAAATAGTACAAAGCAAATAAAATAAACAAGGAAATGACAGGAAGTGCGACCGCTCGCAGAATGGGTAATAAGTGGAGGACCGTTCTAAGAAGTGGGATTTACTAACCACAGACAGTCTATAAATATCCGCGGGAGACATGCTAACCAAGTAAGTGAGGAGAACACATATTCCTTGACACAGAAGCAATACCAAAGGGTTGCAATCTGACTTAGGCATCGGAGAACTATATCGGGGTCCTAACCTCGGTATGGTTGTCTGACCAAGTTTTTGTTACTCTTGCACATAGTGAATTCCCGGACGCCTATAGGACGAAACCCCCTGGGGTGAGAGACCTCATCATGCACATGGAGTTCGGCGTATCAACATGTGGACCCAACAGGCATGTTTGTATATGTTTTGTTATGTTGGGTATTTTGGGGGACTCACTAAGCTTTGGCTTATAGTTTGGTTTCATGGTTTCAGGTACATCAGATGATCGGGGCAATACGAAAGCGTGATCATATACATCATCCTTGGATTTATGTTCAGAGATGTTTTGGATACTCTGATTTTATGACTATGTTTTGGAAATAATGTTTTGTATGACTTATGGATTATAAAATGGTTTTTGAAAAATAAAAAAATTTATCATGATTTTTGGGACGTTACACATGAGGTATGTATCAATTGTCAAGTTTCAGGTCTCATGAATCGTTTTTACTCATGCAGGCTAAAGCTTTCTCCATGAAATAATAATGCAATTATGAAGAAGGTTCCTAATTCCTAACAATTTGAAACAAAAATTAGTTGTTGGATCAATCAAAATACACCTCTTTCTTTTTAACGAAAACGTCGATTGTAAGGTAAGTTCAAAACAACGAAATGAGACTTACTTTGAAATAGGAGTAGTGGCATAAGACATTAAATGCTTGATTCTTCTTGACCACAACATTGCCATGGAAATTCACTGGCGTCGATCCCTGATTAATGTAATTCATACACATACTGCAAAGGTTCTCGCCACTCTTCCTTATCATCAAAAAACTTTGTTGTCGTTTGAAGATTAGGAAGCAACGATTGAAGACCATGTGGCGGCGATTGAAGATGTCGATTGAAGCAGCGATGGTGGTGGGCAACATACTAGATGAGAAGACGAATGTTGATTGAAGTAGCGATAGGCAATGTGAGAAGAAAGGCTTGGATACATAATGGGGATGAAGATGTAGATTAAGTGGTTTTTTTTTCTTTTTTTCAATTACTTAGTTAAAGGTATTTTAGGGATACTATATTAAATTAAATAAGATGATAAAATGATGATAAGTATCATAATTTTAATGGTTAGAAATATTTATAAGAAGAAAATGTAGAAAACAATTTAATTTAATTTGTTTTTTAAATTTGTGTTTTACTTATTACATGATAATAGAGATTTAGTTTTTTAAAAGTTTTCCTAAATTAAAAATACTTTTAAAGGAGGGAAATATTTGTATTTATTTACCAAATCCGAGGATCAATTAAATTGACCCCACTCCATCACCGTACCTCATCACTCACATTGCTTTTCACTTTTCACTCATTACAAGAAAAACAAACAAATCAAACCCCAAAACCCCATTTCTTCAACTCAAAACCCCACAAAATTCAACAAGTTTGAAATCAAGAATCGAGTGATGAGGCTATGGAGGAAGCAGAGAAAGAGCTAGAAAGAAGGAGCAAGTTCTTGAGCAATTTAATACAGAAGAAGAAAGCTACCGATCAACAAAACCTCCATCAACAACTCAATATCAGAGTCAAAGCTTCTGATATGTCAACGGTTTTGCAAAACAAAGCTTTTAAGTGTGCAAAAGATCATCTTGATTCCATGTCTCCTGGAAATGGAATCAAGATTGACAGCAAACGCCTTGCTCTTGCCCTCAAGAAGGTAAACATTCTCTTCCTAAAATCTTTTCTTTTTTCGCTTTATTTTCAAGAATGCATAACAATAAATCATGGGTCTATCTTTTTTCTTGATTATGGGTTAATTACAGCTTAGTGCATTGATTAAAAAGATTCTCAAATCTGTTTCATGAACGTTTATGGATGTTTCTCCGTGGCAATAATCAAAACAGTTCTGAGTGTTAACCACTTATCCTCACATTAGAAGAGAAGCCTTCATAACTTCATTTTAAATGGTTCAAGTCATATAAATGTATTGAATATGCAAAATGCAAAGAAAAACAAGAAACCTTTTTCAAACTTATTTCGTCTATAAATGCTTTTGGTAGTTTGATTGTTCTGGATTATATGAAACAAAATTCCTTTTCCAATTCTTATGGTTTCCTGTGTGGGATTCTTTAATTCTCAATCACTTGTCTTTCTGTGAATGCTCAAGTGTCGCAAATCTAGAATTTTCTTAGAAACTTTTAAACTAAGATTTGAAGTTTTTGCATGTTTGAAAAATATTTGACCTTTTTAAAGTATGATAATGATCTCCAATATCTTTAATGAAAAAGAAGGGACAAACAGAAAAATTCCAAAGCAGGTGGTCAAAATTGTTTTTTTATGGTGTCAGAATTATTTTGTTCATGTCTACTATTTGTAGTCTTGTGAGATTCTACTCACAGAGTATCACTACTCTTTTAGCCTTTTGCTCTCATTTTACATGAATTGATAATCGAGAATGTTGATTGACTTTTATTTCTTTAATATCTTAAAATTAAACATGTTATCTAAATGTATAAATTAAAATGAATATTTAATGCTTATTCAAAGTTAACACCATCGTAGATGTCATTTCGAGTTGAGTATTTTCCATAAAAGGAAATTTTGACACCTTTTATGATACTTTCAGGTTTAAAGATTTCCATTGTGATATGTCACATAAAACTTCTACATAGTTCTAGTCGTTGTTATAAAATGTTTATGATATTAATTTGGTTGGATTGGACAAAGCGATGTTGGACAGTGTGCAGCTTCCTATGGACATGTTCCCATCAAGTTATAGGGGCAATACAGTAAAATACTTTCCTGTTTTTATCTTTTTGAAATTTCATTTATTTTAAAAACTTGTCCTTATTATATTTCCTAAAGGTGTTAATGTATCTATAATGGGTAATCTAAACTAATATACTATTACTTATTATTTTCACTACATTAATTATTCATTATTTTTATTTAATATACACCAATGGTTATTAGCTCTTGTTCGTGGTTAATTTTTTTGTGTTATAATACTAATTAGTAATAATAAAATTGAATATATAATTTTTTAATTTTTTTTTTGTTAAAAATGGTTATATGTCGTTATCATAGGAATTCGACGCATCATACGGGCCTGCATGGCACTGCATTGTGGGAAGCAGCTTTGGGTCATACGTGACGCATTCATTGGGAGGTTTCTTGTATTTTTCCATCAACAAAGTTTATGTTCTTCTTTTCAAGACCACTGTTGACCCCATGCCCATGCCCATGGATCATCATCGCTAATCACTATTTTCTGACTTTTCTTAGTATAGCCTTCAATGTCCTTTTGTTTAAATTAAAACTTAGGAAGGAATGAAACTTGTATTTTCGTGTACTTTTTTAAGCGTAATTGTGTATGTGTTGTACGTTAATCATATCACCTTTTTTTTGTCGATTCATGTCATTCTTCAAACTTTTGTGTCAAGTGCTTACTTCTTGAAAACTAGGGTTTTTATTTGATCGGGTTACTGATTTGAAGCAAGAAACTAGTTATTTTTACTTTTTTTTTTATCGAACTAAGCTAAATTATTAATGGCTACTCAAACAAAGTTTGATGGTTGAGCAACATTTTGCATTCCAAGTCAAATTACACACATTGGACTTGAACGATAAGTTTTGGTAACTTGAAGGTTAGATGTAACATTGTCAAAAATTTGGAGGGGTACAAAGTCAATTTCTTGAACTTTTATCAAAATCTTGGCCACATGTTACTTATCTTGGAAAACAATTCCTCCCTAAACCTTTTAAACAACCGTTCCAGTTTGTTAAGAAAAAAAAACATTTTTGAGCCATGGATATGGAGATTTCACATGAAACAAACCACAAACAGCATCAAATAAATCAAGATTCATCAAACACAGGACAACCCCATGAATCTTTATACCTTGTATTACCCTATCTTCCACTTTTTGAGCTTCTTGCCATGGCTCAAGTATGTAAATCCTTCAACAACGCTTTAAAAGATGATATTTTGCCATGGCTCAACATCATAGTGGATGAAAATCTTCAAAGATCACGGATTTCGGATGAAATTCTAGTCAAGATTGCTTCAAAAGCAATGGGTAGGCTTAGAACATTGGTTCTTAATAACTGTGGCAGAATTACAAACGATGGTGTTCAAACTGTGGTAGCCATGAATCCCAATATCGAAAAGGTATGATTTTTCTTGATCTTGTAATTTGATGTGAATTACAGGGTGTTGGATATGTGTTTATAACAACAATATTTCCTTTTTTAGCTACATGTACCTCAATGCACGAGTTTAACCCCCGAAGGGATTATCCAAGCAGTGACAACGTTAAACCAACACAGTGCAACCTTAAAGAGCCTAAAGATAAACGGTATCTACAACATCACCAAAGACCACTTTCAAACGCTTTGTATGTTGCTAAAATCAAACGAAATGCAACACAAGCGATTCTATCCCGACACTTCAAGACAAGATTCCATAGATGTGGGAATTTGTCCGAAATGTGACCAAGTGAGAATGGTGTTCGATTGCCCTTTGGAGACATGCGAGAGGAAGAAGACAATTGGTGGATGTCGAGGGTGTAAATTTTGCATTTTGAGGTGCGAAGAGTGTGGAAAATGTGTAGATGAAGATGATAGTGAAGCCGCTTGTGAAGATACGTTGTGTCTAGATTGTTGGATTAAACTACCAAAATGTGGTTTTTGTAATAAGCCTTATTGTAACAAGCATGCATACAAGCAAAGTGTTCTTCCCGAGTCCTCCGGTTTTGTATGTGAGGCTTGTTATTCAACAATCGATGAAATTTGAATGACAAATCAATTTAATCATTTCAAGTACTTGTACCTACAAACACTGCATTTTGTGTGCATTACACCAAGACTGATGTGAATGAGACAAAAATTGCAACTTTCAGTCAAAGAATAGATAGATCATGAAGAAAAAATCTTGATTCGCTTGTTTCTACAATCAACAAACGAACTCGCTCCTAAGTCCAACAATTCCTTCAAGCTTCATACAAACTTTGTTTGTGACCTTTTTACCCTCCCGCTTCATGGGCAGGAACAAAATGAGGTAATCAAGAACCGAATATTTCCGAAAAATTTACAAAAATACCCCACTCAAAAGTAACACCACAATAAGTCTCAGAAAAGAAACCGAGTTGCTCTCATTGAATGTTGACAAGCTACCCGAAGTCGAATTTGAAGACGGAGCCAAAGAAGTCCCGTTTATGAATGTCCCATTACTCCCATTACTACACAAACAATAATATAAAAACCATTAATTTCACAATTTCAATGGTTTTTTTTTTTTTTTTTTGCAATGAAAAGTGTGACATTTTGTAATAATTATTTACCTTCCGGGAAATATACAACTTCCATGACCTGCAAGTGAAACAATTCGATAACATAAGTATAACATTTAAAGCACGGAGTACAACTCTTTACACATATAAACCATTGAACCTTTTACTTACTTGGGTCAGTGGTAGTTACAGTAGCCACACCATTGAAATCACAAGTCCCTTCAGCCATAACCATTCGATGATAATAAGCATCAAAAGCATAAGTGGCATGAGCTGCAACAGTATCCGGTTCATAACATGGTGCACCCTGAACCATAGCCGAACAGTCAACTTTCCCCGGTCCACAAGCCCAATCCAATGCAGCCTGCAACATCTTCCGATCAACACCATCTCTAGCCACACAGTAAGTCTGGTTCGTGGTGTCATTAGCCAACATGGTCCCTGAACCAGTCAAATGCAACACATAAATCGGCCTCCCATTTCCATCAAAAAGCCCCCAATTCTTCTCTGAAACCACCCCCGATCTTGCATCTTCATTATAAAGCTCGTAGATGAACGTGCTGACAGCTACCCCTGGATGTTTTGGTGTCCCGGTGTTGTTTATAACATGTTTGATTAGATTACTGTTGTATGTGTTGGCGTTGTCGAGAGTGGCATCGGGTTCGTTGGAATCGCCTTTTGATGGCCATCCTGATTCCGTTACCACAATCGGAATGTTCGTGAAGTTTAAGTACGACATTGAGAAATAAGCAGCGTCGACAATGGCATCGAATACATTGGTGTAGTGTAAAAGGGTGTTGGAATCGACTGCTTCTTTGTTTGGTGGGAGAGGGCGGAATAGGGCGTAGTCCAACGGAATGGCATCGCGGGATTGGATGTAATCGTAATACGGGTAGACGTTAAGCATGAGGTAAGATTTCGTGGATTGAAGGAATTCAAGTAATGGAATCATTACTGGGTCCCATGTTCGGTTGAAGAAGGCTTGGGATGGTGGAAAGGAATCAAGGATGATGGAGGAGGAATGGGCGGTGGAGACTTTGATATGGGAATCGAGTCTGGCGGCGACGAGGGCGGCGTGGATGAATTTTAGGGCGGAGACGAGTACTGGGGCGGCGTTGGGGATGGCGGTGAGGACTTCGGATCCGACTGATATGGCGGTGATGTTGGTGGCGGGGACGTGGGTGAGGATGTTACGAGCCACCCAATTGGCGGCGGTGGAATTGGATTGGCCGATTGCGAGGAGCTGTTGGTTTGGAACGGAAACGGTGACGCGGATTCCGGTGCCGGAAAGGGCGAGGAGCATGGCTTGGTCGGCGTCGTAGAGTCTGACGTGGAAGATTTTTTGGGCCTTGAGAAGGGCCACCACCTGAGTTGGGCTGGGCATGTCGGAGAGGGCGGTCCCTATGTTGAAACCTACAAAAGCATCTGGAACAAAAGGCACTACGGGTATTTTAGACATTTCACAAAAAGTCAACCACTGACTTTAATGTCTGAATTTAATGATAAAAATTGGGAGAAATCACTATAAGATATGGAACAAATATGACAATTAAGCTTATCAATGATGGGATTTACAAATATTTAGAAGAAAAAATGAAAAATGGGTAACATTTAACTTATATATGATGTCTGTATAACCAAAGAAAATGTCAATAGTGCCCTTCAAAGTTGATCTAGATGGACCCAAAATGGAATCTTTGTTAGTCCTGTTATTCCCACTTTAATGTTTGGAAAATCAAAAGGGTATAATTTATGCAAAAACAAATAAATAAATAAAGCATGCTCTGAGTTGTATCTCAATGGTGGTATTCCAGGAAGGTCGATTAAGGTAAATGTTAGAAAAAAGTATATGAAAAGCAGAACTTTTGTTTCTAGAACAGTGAAAAATCAACACATTTACTCATTTTTAATAAGCAAAAATATGAACAATGATGATTTATGGCTTATAAACACAATGTCTTTCTGGGTTCATGAGTTTTGACCAATCTTTGACAACATAAACCCTAATTAAAACATCTATAATAAAAAACAAACTTTAGGTTATAAAATACCGAAAAGGGTATGTGAAAAGATTGTTTTTTTAGTATAAAACTACTCAAAAGATTCAAAAGAAATGATTTTTGTAGTGTAAATTGTTGATTTCTTAGAAAATACGCTGTACTTGAGTTGTACTATTCTGGGAAGGTTAAGGTAATATACAAAATTCAAATAAACCCTTTAAGTTTCTTTTTTTTCTAGAACAGTAAAAACTAAAACTTTACTCATTTGCAATGACCAAAAGCTTCTATAGGTTGAGTACTTGAGTTTTTGCCCAATTTTTTGACTTCATAAACCCTAATTAAAACACCTCTAACAACAAAACCAAATATGCAAAAGGATATGTGAAAAAACTGTTCCTTGAGAATAAAACTACTCAAAAGACATTGTAGTTGAATGATGTTACAAAGTATAAAATTTCAACAGAAAGATATTTATGAAGTATAAAATTCATCTCTCTTGAACAGTGGAAAAAAACCCAGAAACTTTACTCATTTGCAATGAGAAGAATCAGAATATGAACAAGGAGGGTTTATGGCTTCTAAAACACAATGTCTTTCTGGTTTTATATGTTTTTGTCCAACCTTTCACAATTTACACCATAAACCCTAATTAAATCATCTCCAATAACACCCAACCTTCAGATTAAAACCGTAAAAAATGCAAAAACGCAGGTGAAAAAAATGTTTTTTAGGAATACAACTACTTGAAAGATGCAAAAATATAGGATTTCCAAAGTGAAATTTGGTGAGCTATGCATACAGAGTATAACATGTGCAGAAAAAGATGAAAGATATGAAGAGGAATGAAGAGAGAAAGGGTTGACCTTTGTCGGCCATGGCAGCTAAAGGCAGAAGGTGGAGGAAGAGGAAGAGGAGCGCCATTGATCTCCAAGTCGCCATTGAAGGGTTCTACAGTTCCCACTCCCAATAACCCAAAAAGGAAATGTAGAGAGAGAAAGGGAGGGGGGCAGAAAGGGGGTGTTTGAGGAAGCAATAGCCCAAGAGAAAGAAAGACAATGGTTGGGGGTGGGGTTGGAAGTGGAACATTAAACTATCTAAATTAAAAAAGAAAATAATAATAATAATAATAATAAAGACTTTGAAGTTTGAAGTGGTTCGTTAGTCTTAAGGTTCTAGCCGGGATGATGTCCAAAAACCTAATCCAAGTATTGTCAGCAAGTTAATCATTTGGTACGGTAATACATTCGAATTATACTCTAAAATAATTATATATTTGAAATTAAAATTAAAAATATACATATTGCAACTTGATAACTATTTGCATGACTTATATATCATTAGCAACTTAAATATCGTTCCAGGTGTAGACTTGTAGATATCTAGACTATGAGCGTTTTTGACACGAAACGTTTCAGAGCATTTGAGATCTTTTAGCTTCTAACGTTTAATAAAACGTTCCGTTTTAAACAAAAAATATCGTTTGACACTATAAGTTTTAGAGTTTAATTTAAACAAAACGCTCTAAATCTAAAAGCTACATCACGTAGCGTTTAACAAAACTCTATCAGCTACCCGCTATCAACTAGTTTTGTCGAACACGCCATGTATATAATCTATTTCGCTTAATATCTCATATTTGTAAATGTATGTATTTTATAGCGCAAACTTTAAAAAATCCAACATATTTTTATCTATTTTTTTAAAAAAACTGTTATATTATTTATTATTTAGTATAATACTAAAATCCTTATATTTTCTCTGGAAGTTTATTTAAAACTTTTTGACTTAGAAAACACAATCTATTTTCATCCAAATATTAAAAAATAAAGTATATATATTTCTGGTGTGTTAAAATATTTATATTTTTTAAATTTTTTAATGTGAGTGTTAACACTAAATCCTTAAGAATTGATTACCTGGTATTTGTGACAATCTAAGGTTTCACGAGTTCAAAGCTTTAAATTATACATTCTAAAATATAAAGGTTTTAACGTACTAAAAAATAATATATATTTGTATCTTTACTAATTTGACGAAAATATGTTGGTTTTTCTAAAGCTTTTCTTATTTTATATCCCTCAGTGTTTAATAAATTTTTTGAAATATTCAATATTTCACATAGTATAATGGTTACTAACTCTCATAGCCACCGTTATACGTACCCACGTCGTTACGGATCACGACTTTTCCGCCTCCCATATCCACTATACTCCTATCAAAAATGCATTTCATTTGGTCAACATTGTAACGAATATCTTGAACAAGGTATGAATCATCGACGACACAAGAGTGATTATTCATCATGGGTTAAAGTTTTTCAACTTTGTGTGTGGGGTTATAAAGTTCTTGTTAAATTTGTTCAACTTTATGTGTGGGGTTACAACGTTCTCGTCCTTATCAACAATACCAAACCACATGAGTCCATCGATTTGTCTTCTCGAGTCTTGTTCAAGACTTATGACATCGGTCTCTAGTGGATCTATGAAACCCTCTTAGATGAACTT